GGCAGGTCTGACGTGGTGGGTGCTGAGCCCCCCAGGATGCTGCTGAGCCCCACTGGGCCCTGGTTGCACCCTGAGGGTGACACAAGGCACCCATCGTGTGCTGGTTCACCTGCTTTCACTGCAGGGCCCCAACCTGCAACTGGAGCATATGTTTCCTCTGGAGACCACGGAGAGAACTCGACTCAGACCTGCCAAGATTTTTCCACCCCTGTAAACCTGTAGATGTAAAATTGGATTAGAAGCCCTCGCATGTGAATTCCAGGTTTACAAAGAAAATGTCAATGTGGAGACTTCTTCAGTTTTACAGAAAGAAGATGGTAGTTGTTTTATTGCTAATAATGATTATTCTATGTTTGGGTAGTAACTGGAAGCCCTGGAAAAAATCCCTATTAATACAGCAGCATGGTGTGCAATAAAAGAGCAAAAAAATACCTCTCCTGCAAAGTGCTTACAATCTAACCTCCATCTGCCAGAGGAATCTCATGATATGCCTTATCCAGTTTCTTTCAGCACCTCCTCTACCCCAGCTATCATCTCCTGTGTGCATTTGTTCTGCCTTCCCCTGCAGCTCTGCCCTGGGGGAAACTATACTTTTATATTCTTGATTAACAAGTAGGGCTCTAATGTCTCTCTTTAAAGCCCTGTATCTTGGGCTTTAATGTTCCCCATTAACGACGTGTATCTCACCCACACTGACATTTCCTGCAGTCGTCATCACATCTGTTTCCTCAGCCAACCATTTCTTAATAAATGCACAGAAATTTGCCTGCAGCTACCAAACACAAGCGCCTCCTCAGAGATTCATGGGTGTTTCTAAAGTTTAGTGTAAGCACTGGGAAGACTGTCAAATGGTTCAGTTCTGTCAGCACAAAATTGTCCAGTACTCAAACAACCACTGCTAGTGCTGCAGATACTAAAGACTGTTCCATAAATTAATTACTTGCTGTGGCCCCAAGACCATCCAGAGCTTCTTCATGTTGCTAGCACACAAGCAAAGCTGTGAATTGCATCTCTCCTATTTGGAATGCTAAAACCTGGGAGCCAGAAGTTATTCCTGAGATACTCTAGAGTGACAATAGCATTACATTATCCAGTTTCAATATTTTTGGGGGCGGTATATTTTTTCTGAGGTTGTCTCAGAGCTTGCAAAAGCAAAGGGTTGCTTGCAGTTATGCTGCTTTTGCTGTGAATGACACTGAGCAGGCAAATATACTGTATTAATATGAAAAAATATTTGCATTTCAGGTGAGGTGGATGACTGCTCTTGAGGGTACAAAGAAATGGGAGTCCTACCCACCAGTATTTGAAAACCTCTTCTAAGTCATCCTGTGCTGTTTGCTATGGACGTGGTTCCTGTTATTAACAGATCACCAGCTCTGGAAGACTCAACAGCGATGTTTTATCTGCTGACAAGAGCATAAGCAGAAAGTGCCCCAGGGAGAGTGAAACTAACCAAACAGAGCACCCAGGATCTCCCAAAACATCTTGCTTCATTTAAACAAACAAATGAAAAAAAACCCCATAACCAACCAAGCAAAACAAAACCCAAACCAAACACAAACAACCAAAATATGGCAAGAGTGGCAAGAAACGGTGAGGTCTGCAAAAGATGCCATAAAAGAGACTTGAGAAGTCTGATAGGTTCAGTTCACTTAATGAACAAAGTTTGGAGCTGACTTGATCATACACAGTAAACATAGGTAAGAGATTTCTCTCAGAAGTCATTTAGTCTGAATTGAAAACAGCTGAAAACAGACACATGGTCAGAACTGGACAGATGATCAAGTGCCATTTACAAGCTATGGAACTCCTTCCTTTGACAGGGGTGGGCTTTGCTCTCAGTAAAGGGCATATTACTGAAAAAGCTATCCCAGATAATATCCCAGTACTATTTCAGTAATATCCCATATTACTGAAAGACCTATTCCCAACAAGAGCTTGTTTCAAAAGAGAAACAAAGTCTGTTGCAGAGATTACTGGGTTAAACTCAGTGTCTCTGTGATCCAGGCTGGGGCAAGTAATAAAATGGCTTTTGGGGTGCACATATCAGCTATGGAAAGGTGCTTTACAGAAGCTGGTGGACACATTACAATTTCTTGGAGGCCGAGGGTACTTCAAGCAACAAGTTTTTTGCAGAGAATCACCAGATGACGCCAGACAGAATCACAGAAAAAATGAGGTTGGAAAAGACCTCTGAGATCATCGAGGCCAACCTGTGACCCAACACCACCGTGTCAACTAGACCAGGGCGCTCAGTGCCGCGTCCAGTCTTTCCTTGAACACCTCCAGGGACGGCGACTCCACCACCTCCCTGTGCAGCGCCCGTTCCAGCGTTTAATCACCCTTTCTGTGGAGAAACGTCCAACTTCAACGTGCCCTGGCGCAGCAGACGGGTAGCTCGGGATGCAGGACCAAACCCACAGGCCCACCCCAGCGGGTGCGGGCAGTGCGGGGGTGCTCCTGCTCCCCCCTCACCCCTGCGGTCGCCATGGCAACGGACGCGGCGCGGGGCATCCCGGGCCGCAAGACAACGCCGGGGTAAAGCCCTGCCGGGCGCCGCGCCGCGGCCAATGGGCGCTCGGGGGCCGGCGGCGGTGACCAATGGGCGCTCGGGGGCCGGCGGCGGTGACCAACGGCTGGCCAATGGGCGCGGAGGGGGCGGGGCCGGGGCGCTTGGAGGCGCGCACGGCCCAGAGCGCAGCGCCGCTCGCTCCGCACCGCGCCGGCCCCGCAGCGCCCAACGGTGAGCGACGGGCTGCGAGGTCCCCGGGGACGCTCGGCCACCCCGGTACACCGGCGGCTCCCGTGTGCACAGGCGCTTTCCCATTCGCCGCCTCCGCTTTCCGCGGACCCCCGGCTCTGCCGGCGGGACCCTTCCCTTGCAGCCGTGCGGGGCTCCGAGCCCTTGGCAGTGGGGCCGGGCTTGAGTCGGCGGGGAAAGGCCGTCGCGGCCGGGCGATGGAGCGGCTGCACTGGGCTGGGGAGGGCTTGTGTGGGTCCGGCTGGAGAGCGGGTGCTGAACGGGACCCGGCATTTGAGCCGCCGCTGCTCGGGCTGTGCCCGGGGCTGTGCCCGTGCCCGACACACCCGGCAAAGCGCTGCCCGGCCCCGGGAGCTCGCTGGGAGTGACGGTACAGGTGACTCTGGCAGGTGCTCCTTTGAATTCTGGTGACTCAGGTGACTCTGGCAAAGGTGCAACTTTGAATTCTCCTCCTTTTCTCCCAAAGCAGGCAATCATGAGCGATCGGAAGGCAGTGATCAAAAATGCGGACATGTCAGAGGAGATGCAGCAGGACTCGGTGGAATGTGCTACTCAGGCCTTGGAGAAATACAACATCGAGAAGGACATCGCTGCTCACATAAAGAAGGTAAATGTTGGCTTGTAATGCACTCATGAAAAATCAATCAGGGAGAATGCTGCTGGGCAAGTAGCTCTAGAGAAACAAGCTCTAGACACACTAGATAATCAAGTTGGACTTTCTTTATGTTCCTTTCTCCACCCTTTATGTGGACCTTTTTACGTCCTTCTGCTTTACTGTGGTAGTGCCTTATGCCTTTTCTGCCACTGTCCCATTGTGCAGGTGGGCAGATTGGCAGCTGACTGTCCCTGTGACTGATGAGCTGGTACAAAACACGGGCTCTATATGGAGCCTGTTTGAGGAGGGGTGGTTTGCCAATCGCGTAATAAGTGGTTTTGGTTTTTGCCCTTTCCCCCTACATGTAAGACAAGCTGTTCATACGAGTGCCAAACAGATGGTTCATAGCTTACAGTTTGTCACATTTTCTCTTTTGACTCCTACTGGGAGCCTGACTGAGCTGCAAGTAGTTGAAGGGTTTGTTTGAGCAGAACAGGAATTTCTTCCATGTTCTCAGAAAAACCTCTTCAGCTGATGGCTGTTAGGTACTGCACTATATAACCACTGACTGCATGGGATTACTCACAGTACACCTGTACACAGGAGTTTATTTGTAAGTTATAGCAGGCTTCTGATGGCAGACTGTTGGAAGAATATGGTCTCATGACCAGATATCAAGGATGTGGCAGAGAATTTCCCAGCAAGTGTCCTTTCAGCATCCTTATTGTAAACAGCAAATGAAATCAAAATACTGGTTTAATCTGAGGTTCAGAACAAGCAGTGAGGCTCTCAGAAGTTATGGTTTGAGATCATGGTGTGACTTTGGGGTAAAAGTTACTTCACCAAACATATGTTTTAAGCTTATTCCTGCTCTGCTTGGAAGCACTTTTTTTTTTTTTGGTATGACTAAGCAGCAGATGAGTTATAAAGTGACAGATGATCCTTGTGCTTAGGAGCATATGCTGCTCCTTAATTGCCTCTTTCCAAAAGTGATACTTGTTAACAAGTGACATATCATTGCAAAAAAAAAAAAAACCACCCAGAAAACCTGTTAGACAGTATAATTACCACAAAAATGCTGACTTTCTAGTTCTCTCTTCTGTAGGAATTTGACAAGAAATACAATCCCACGTGGCACTGCATCGTGGGAAGGAACTTTGGCAGCTATGTGACTCATGAGACCAAGCACTTCATCTACTTCTACCTCGGCCAAGTCGCTATTCTTCTTTTCAAGTCTGGTTAGAACCACGGACTGTTACTGAAACTTGCACCTGGGTACAGGATCTGCACAGGATCTCCCACCTTCAGCCTTCCTGGGGAAACAGGCCTTGATCTCCAGGTCTTTTGTTGTATTGTTAATGGTCAGGGATTTTGCTGTAGCAGCTGGTATTTTCATTGTGGCTATATAAAAAAGCAAAAATGTCTTCCTTGTATTTATTTTCTTTCAAAAGATTGCTTCTTTGCTAATAAAACTGTTGGAACTAGTTTATCCTTTAAGAGTTTTCTTTACCCTCTGCCCTCTTGCATTACTCTCTTTATTGCAGTGTGAATGAAGGATGAACATCCCCACCCCTATTCTCACCTAGCCCCAAATCCATAATTTCTTAGGCAACCTTCTTACAGAGGATTGATTTAAGTGGAAAAGAGTTGATGCAGAGCCCTTTTATTTCACAAGCCTTTCATTTGCCTTTGAAAGAAGTAAAGGAGTCATGGGAAAACATCCTTAAACTCCACATGACAGAGATAATAACAGCTTCATAAAAATCCATAGTTACTTCATAAATCCAAGTTCTCATGGGTATATCCTCCTTGAAGCTTAGTAAAAAAGGCATCTTATTGGAAGACTAGTCAGCCTATTTCTGTGTCCAAATCCCACTGGCAACTGATGTTGCTGCACTTGTTAGCACTGCTCAGTTTTGGCCATGTCCTTTACACTGCACTTGAAGGGAAATGCAAGTGTAAGAAAGGCCACAGGAATCGCTCCTTCCACATGTTTCTTGAAGGAAAAAAGGTAGCTGGTGTTCTGGGTCTGGCTGCTGAGCAAGTATCTGCTGCACAAGTTTTTAACACTCCAATTCTCATACTGTTAAAATTCCACAGCTTTCACATTCTTCATGAAAATTACACCTCCTGTGTTTTGCTACATAGTAGACTCACAGTTTGAAACCTGAGTGAATGGCGACAATGCCAAAGTTTAAATTCTCGTAATCCACTTTGAAAAAACCTGCGTCTTCTATCATTGCCTTCAGCTCCTCCTGAAAAAGAAGTGCCATAATTTTAACAACTCGAAGGCCTGTGAGCCAGTGGCTGCAAGGCTGTGCTGGGATCATGTTTTATGTGTTAGGAGTTCAGGGAAATCCTGTCTCACCTGAGGGGGGAACCGCCGGATGCTCTCCACCAGATACTGGTAAGATTTCCAGTCACCAGCAATGACCTCACCCAGAACAGGGATAACCTGGAAACTGTAGAGATCATAGAGCCTGCACACACAGACAACAAATGCAAATGAATACAAAGAAATTTAAAAACCAACCCTCTCCAACACAAGCTGGTCTCTGTACCACTATGCTATGCAGTCTGTGTCTGATTTTAAAAGTGCACAAAGAAGAGGCCTCAAAGTGTCTCCATCTCTAATTGTGGCTGAGCACAAATAAGAGAGCCTTGTGACGTGGCACAAAGTGCCACCATGTTCTTACCTGGAAAGAAGAGGGTTGCTGACATGACTAAATTCAAGGCAGAGAAATCTTCCTCCTGGTTTCAGCACACGATAGGCCTCTTCAAGAGCCTGAGACAAAGCAGATGTGGTAAGTTTGTTTCTGTAGAACAGCACCTGCCTATTATCATGGCATGTGATATTATCATGCAACTCAGATGAACTGAGGGAAGTAAAGAGTACCCTGACTGGCAATCTGTAATATTTCATGTGGAGCAGCATCCCAAGACAAGTAAAAAAAAACCCAAACCCAAACATACAACAAACACAAAGCACAAACACTCTCAATGTTACATAAATAGATTTATACAAGGCTTTGTGTCAAAACTTGATGTTGGGTTGCCAATTTTTCTTTTTCCCTACTCCCACTGATGAATGTTTGTTGGCAGAGCTCTTGTAATTACAGACCAAACCCAAAAGGGAGAAGGTGACTCACCTACAAGAAACCGAAAAAGAAAAAAGGGCACAACAGATTTTTTTTTTTAAATTGAAAGAAAAGATTTTACTGAGGCACACCCAAAAGATCAAAGAAGGAACGATACTGGGTTTCGGATGAGCAATGTGTAAGAACAGGAAGGAAAGAGAAGGAAGAAGAAAATCTTTGGGTACTTTGAAAATTCCATCCTATATCCAAAGCAAAATACCTAAGAAGAATCAAGAAAAGATTTTCTTTACAACTGTATGTTCTTTCATGCAAGAGCACAGCAGAGTTGTAATCCAGCAGCTCTGCAGGTTGCTTGGCTTCAACTGTCCTGTTTCTAAGGAAGGGGACACAAACAGTACACACACATGACAGGAGCTCTGCAAAAGAATTGGCAGCTTGGGTGTTTTGTATCAGGTCTCCAGGGAACTCTGCCATCAGACTCCTGTATCCACGCAGGCAAAGAGCCTGTGCTTTGGAAAGGTGCAGACAAAGTACCAGGAAAATCCATCCACATTAACTTCCAAGGCATATGGTCCAAGGTGGTTACACCTGCCACAGAAGGAGCTTTGCCAAGGTTGTAACACACTGCTCCAAAACACACACGACTAGTCCACCTAGACAGGTGATCTAACCTATCTTTACCCCCACGACAGCTTGTCCTCCTCAAAGGACAGACATTGTTTAGAACAAAGGGCACTACTTATCCTAATTAAGATCATACTTGTTCTTCACAGGAAGCTCTACCACCAGCCAGTGTAAAGACACTGAGCAGCAGTGGGCAGAACAGGTCAGCTAACAGCAGTGGGGGCAGCAGCCAGCTGCTTCCCACCCTGCTCTGGAAGCTCTGCTGGCTCAGGTAGGGAAACAGAAGAGAACAGGAATTGTTGGACCCACGGTGGTGGGATGTAGATCAGGTGTTTCAGAAGATCTGAGACATGCAGATTGACTGCACTGTGCATGTGTAGATCCAGCCATGCCATAGGTCAGGAGAAGGTGGGGAATAACTGCAGCATCCAGGCCCTTTGCCTTAGGAAGAGATCGTGTGGCTTGTCAAGCTAGAAGGATTGGATGCAACTGGTACAAATCTATCTTTTTATGGTAAAGGTGGGGCATTTAATTGCATTCTCCATTCAAACAAGCTGCACACCACATGCCACTTCTTTTAAATGTTTCAGGAGTAGACTATGATCTTCCTTTATACAAAGGAGTTCCTCCTTTTCTTCCTCAGCTGAATAAAAACCCCTCAAATGAATGATAAGGACCTCAAGTCAGGATACACTACAGCAACTTACCAAATCAATACGAGTCACATTTCGGATTCCAAAGGCAATTGTGTAAACATCAAACATATCATCATCAAAGGGCAACTCTTCAGCATTCCCAAGTACCCAGGACAAGCCTGTAGTGAAAGACAAGTCACAGAACTGAACTCAAGACTGCTCCAGAAAGACTAGAACTTACCTATCCTAGAAAAAACTGATTCTTTTAAAGGTGATATTTAAAACAAATGTTTCCACTTTGCATTTTTGTTGGAGGAAAGACACCTTGGCCTATACTCAGGAACCTTTCAAGGCCCTGTACTATACCACTCACTGTGTTTCAAGACTGAGTAGTTAATTTTGCAGATCAGCCAAAACATTGTTCTGTATATACCTATATATTTAACACGATTCAATTTCTTTGAACATTATTTGCATATGCTCTAACTCTGGGAAGTTTCATAGGTTCACAATATCCTTTAGTTCTTGCATTTTTTATTTGCTATCTTGATTCCTAAAATACATGTTATAAGATCTTTAGTCATTCTAGGGCTGAGCTCTTCTGCAGCTCAGTAATACCCAGGCTTGTCAGCACAGATGTTAACAGCAGGTTTTGATTGTTTAATTTTGAAGGACAGCTGGGTATCAGACCTCAGGGACACTTCCACATTTGTTCTGAAAGTTCAAGTATTATTCAAGATAATCACTGTACACCTGAAGTGTAATCCTGAACTGGTGATTACCTGGTGCATCAAATTCTTGCTATCAGGGACGCTGCTGACACAGTACAGTGCATGACTTACCTTTAGAGTAGCCAAGGTGCTGTGCTTTCTGCTTCCCAACTTTTAACATTTCTCTGTTAATGTCACAGACCACCGCCTGGGAATCCCCTAGAGAGTCAGATTTGTCTTCCTGGTAATTCTCAAAAATTTCCTGCCATGACAAATTCTGATGGTGCTTGAGCTTCCTCTGGAGCTGCCGTTCTCGTACAGCGCGAACATAATTAATGAATCGAAAGGCAATGTCACCTGCAGTTGGTTTAAAAAAAAGATTCACATTTGGGAATGTTTTCTGACTCCAGGAAATCAAAAAATAAGGCTTTGAACATCAAACCGAGTTAATATTTATTTTGAGTCATATATATTAATAAAAACAACCCCCCCACACACTGTATATACACAGAGAGTGTATATATATATAAAGGGAATATATTGAAAGCAAAGAGTTAGTGACTTTCTACAAATATAAATAGTTTCCCACAACATATCATGGCAGTACTACAACACTTTCAGACCTCTGGAGCAAGATATTACAAAACACAAAGAAGTTAACTCTTAACCCTTCTCTGGGAAAGTCAAGTAGATGCCTCACTGGTTTTAAAGACAGGAACTGACAGAAGGAAAAAAAAAAAGCTGGGCAACTTAATTCTGAGCACTCAAACAGCTGAAAACCAGCGTGGCACTGTCATGTGGAACTCACCAAAATGATTTACCTGTTCCTCCAGCAACATCAAGAAGAAGTGTTCCTGGGGAAGGGTTCATTTTATGTACCAGGATATCCTTCCACACCCGATGAATTCCTAGAGTCATGGAATCGTTCATCACATCGTATTTCTTGGCCACGCTTTCAAAAACCTGGTAAACTGCAAGGAAAGGACATGAGAACGAGATGAGACGCAATTTACTTAAAAACGCTCATGTCGAAGTAAACTGTGTCATGGAATCGTTCATTACATCGTATTTCTCGGCCACGCTTTCAAATACCCTGTAAACTGCAAAAAAGAAAGGACATGAGAATGAGATGAGACACAATTTACTTCAAAATGCTCATGTCGAAGTAAACCGTGTCTTTTATTGCCTCGTTGAGGTCTGTCACCACGTGGAGGTGAAAAAACCTGAAAACTCATCACAAAAAAAAAATTAAAAAAATAAATTAAAAAATCGAATCCTGCTTTGCTCGTTGCCTGACAAAAGTCTCTTTGGAGACGCAGCCTTCCCGAGCCGAGATATTATTCATAGGGGTATTCACAGGGATACCCTTCACGGAGGCTCCCGGTAGCGGCACAGCCCCACACACACCCCGGCACCCCGGAGACCCATCACCGCTCGGCTCCGGGCCCAGCCCGCCCGCTGCCGCCGCCCTCACTCTTCTCCCTCCTCTCCTCCTCCGTGACGCTCTGGAAGCCGAAGTGCATCTCCGGCCCCGCGGCCAGACCGCGGAGCGCCCTCGGGGCTCCGGGGACACGGCAGAGCAGCGCCCGGCAGCGGCACAGCCGCACCGCCGCCATCTTCCGCCGGCCCCAGGGCGGGACCGGCCCCGCGGCATCCCGGCATTCCGGGGTCCGGGAAGCGCCGCGCCCCGCTCTTCCTACCGGGGATGTACCGGGGCACGCGAGTTGTGCCGGGCGCCGTCACTGAACTCCCTCGCTCCGTGCCGCCGGCTGGTTCGCTGGGAGGGCAAATGTGATGAGGGAAAAAGAAAGCAAATGAAAACTGAGCAAAGTTGCGGCTGGAGAAGGGAAGGTTGCTGGAGCACTCAGAGCACCTTCCAGTAGGGGAAGGGGCCTCCAGGGAAGCCGGAGAGGGACTCGTGGTCAGGGACTGGCAGTGGGAGGACAACGGGGAATGGGTACAAACTGAAAGGGGGGGAATTTAGGTTAGATGTTAGTCATTCTTTACTGTGAGGGTGGGGAAACACCGGAACAGGTTGCCCAGAGAAGTTGTGGCTGCCCAGTCCCTGGCAGTGTTCAAAGCCAGGCCTTGAGCAACCTGGTCTGGTGGGAGATGTCCCTGCCCGTGGCAGGGGGAGGTGGGACTAGATGATCTTTAAGGTCCATTCCAACAACGTTCTGTGAACCCCAAACCCACCACAGCCCTCACGGCTTACTTGAATAATTTTGCAAATAGTTTCCTTTAACTTTTCTCTCTTTATTTTTTCTTCAGATTTTTTATTTTTCAGTTTCCTAGGTTAAAGTAAAGCCGCATAGGGAGCAGGAGGGAGGGTTTGTGGGTTCTGACGAGCGGCAGGGAGGAGTGAAAGGTGCCTCTATTCCTGTCAGAAGCATTAGGACACATTAGGGACCTTTTCTGCCTTTTTTTTTTTTTTCTTTTTCCAAGACCTGCCTTTCTTATCACTTTATTTGAATCATACAGGAATTCTGCCAGCTTTGTAGATACAAAGAAGTTACCTAACCCATTCTCAGGAGAGATGACATCACGGGGATAAAACCAGCCCAGAGACTGCATTCCCTGGGCATGAGCTGGGCTCCCTTGCCAGGACCTCCCTGCCACGTTGCGACTTTTAGCTTTGTCATCAGACTCCACCATGATTTTATATCTTTGTCATATCATATTTTTTAACTTTACACTCTTTGTGGCAGGATGCCCTCCAAAGCATCATGTCTGTTTTTTGGGGTTGGTTTTGCTGGGTGTTTATCTCACCTATATGGAGAGGTGATCTTTGACTACCAGAGCCATGGCTGGGACAGCCCCTCTCATGCTGCAGCCACAGCTGCTGCTGTCCAGCCACGTTCACAGAACCACAGAATGGGTCAGGCTGGAAGGCACTGCAGTGGGTCATCTGGTCCAATGTCCCCGCTCAAGCAGGGTGATCCCAGAGCACAGGGCACATGGATTGTGCCCGATGGTCCTGGAATATCTCCACTGAGGGAGACTTTACACCCTCTCTGGGCAACCTGTTCCAGTGCTCAGTCACTGCACAGTAAAAAAGTTCTTCATGTTCAGGTTGAACTTCCTGGGCATCAGTTCCTGCCCGTTTCCTCTTGTCCTTTATCTGGGCACCACTGAACAGAGCCTGATCCATCCTCTTGGCACCCTCCGTTAGATATTTACACACATTAATGAGGTCCCCTCTCTGTTGTCTCAAGGTTAAACAGGCACAGCTCCCTCAGCCCTTCCTCATAAGAGTCCCTCCAGTCCCTCAGTCATCCTTGTTGCCATCCACTGGACCTGCTCCAGGAGCCCCGTGTCTCTCTTGTCCCAAGGAGCCCAGAATTGGACACAGCACTCCAGATGTGCCTCACCAGGGCTGAGCAGAGGGGTAGGATCCCCTCCCTGACCTGCTGGCAACGCTCTTCCCAATGCATCCCAGGATTCCGCTCTTCCCAATGCATCCCAGGATTCCGTTGGTCTTGGCCCCCAGGGCACACTGCTGGCTCAGGGCCAGCCTGCTGTCCACCAGGACCCCCAGGTCCATCTCTGCAGCCGGTCGGCCCCCAACCTGTACAGGTGCTTGGGGTTATTCCTTCCCCTCCTTCCTTCAGGCAGCTCGGCCGCGAAGAAAGAAACAAGGCGATGGGGAAGGGCTGCGCATGGCCTGAGAGCCACCAGCCCTGGCCTGCCCTGGGCTGTGCTTTCCCGGTGGGGCTCCGGGGCGGCCCCAAGGCCGGGCCTAACCCAAAGCCAGGCCCTCCGCGCAGCGCCGCGACCGCCCGTCGCCATGGGAACCAGGCGCGGCCGCAAGGCATGCCGGGCTGAAAGAAATTGCTGCGGCAAAACCCTGCGAAACTGCCGTACTGCGGCCAATGAGCGCTCGGGGTGCTGGCGGAGGTGACCAATGGCTGGCGGCCCGATCGGAGGGGGCGGGGCTGGGGGCGCTCTGAGGCGCGGGCGGCGCGCGCGGGTCGGTTAAACAGCGGCGGCGGCGCAGCCGAGTGCGAGTGTCGCTGCTCACCGCGCCGGGCCCGCTCCCGCCCCGCCCCGCTACAGCCCCGCGGCGCACACCCGACGGTGAGCGGAGCGGCGTGAGGGTCTCGAGCGCTGGGGAAGGGCCGCTCCCGGGAGGGACCGGGTCCGGCTCGGCCACCGAGTCTGGGAAGTCTTGGGGCTGAGCACCCCAGCGGCTCCCCCGTGCTCAGGCCCTTCCCCAGACCCCGCTTTTCCCGCATCCCCGGCACTGCCGGCGGGACCCTTCCTTGGCAGCGGGGCCGGGCTTGAGTCGCCTCCGTCGGCGGGGAAGGGCCGTCGGGGCCGGGCGATGGAGCGGCTGCACTGGGGATGGCCAGGAGGGCGGCGGGGCTTGTGCGGGTCCGGCTGGAGAGCGGGTGCTGAACGGGACCCGGCATTTGAGCCGCCGCTGCTCGGGCTGTGCCCGGGGCTGTGCCCGTGCCCGACACACCCGGCAAAGCGCTGCCCGGCCCCGGGAGCTCGCTGGGAGTGACGGTACAGGTGACTCTGGCAGGTGCTCCTGCAACTTTGAATTCCCTCCTTCTTCTCCCAAAGCAGGCAATCATGAGTGATCGGAAGGCAGTGATCAAAAATGCGGACATGTCAGAGGAGATGCAGCAAGATGCTGTGGAATGTGCTACTCAGGCCTTGGAGAAGTACAACATCGAGAAGGACATCGCTGCTCACATAAAGAAGGTAAATGTTTGCGTGTAATATGCTCATGAAATCTCTATGCACATGAAAAATCAATCAGGGAGAATGTTGCTGGGCAAGTTGCTCTAGAGAAACAAGTTCTAGATAATCAAGTTGAACTTTTTCTGTAGGTTGGTGTCCATATGTTCCTTCCCCCCACCCCTGTACGTGGACCTTTCCAGGTCCTGCTTTTCTCTTGTAGTATTTTCCACTTAGACCTTTTCTGCCACTGTGCCATTGTCCACGTGAGCAGAGTGGCAGCTGACTGTCCCTGTGACTGATGAGCTGGTACAAAACACAGGGACTCTATTGAGCTCTCTTAAGGTTTTCCTGAGAGGAAGCCAGTTTTCCTTGGTTTCAGTTGTATTGAACTTAATCTTAAGGATCTGTTTACAGTTCTTGCCAGCTAGGTCAAAAATTGCAGGGGAAAGTAGTTTTCTGCAAATCTGCTGTAATCTCACCTCTCATATTTTAGTGATATAAGGAAAAAAGAAAACCACAAAAAAAATCCCGATGGTGTGGATTATCTGTTGTTTGCAACATCTGTGTTGTCCTTTATGTAGGATTAACAATACAGGAGAAAGATCTAGTTCAGATTATATATCCTGCTTCGTCAGCTCGGGGGAATGGAGAAATCAAAGTGCGTCAGTAGAAGTTAAACTGATCTGAGTGGAAGAATTGTTGAAATGTTAAGATCTATTGGACTGAAACTCTCTGGAGTAAGCTGCTTGGCATTAGAAGCTAAATTTGCTCAAATCTTAGTCTGCAAGCTGTGAATTTTCACACAGATATGTTGAACTTTTACCCAACGCTGGAAGAAGGCCTCAAGAGCTGGGTCAGGCTGGAAGATAAGGAAGTTATAACTGTCAGCAGAAAACACAACGTAGGAGATAGGAAACAGGCTGCCCAGAGACAGTGAAAAGAACCCAGACCCTAATATTATTATTGGTCCAAACTGTTTTGTGGAAGGTGGGCAGCTGAGATTGGGAGGGTGTAATAATTGCCCGGGGACTTCTTTGTTTGGGGTCCCTCTATGAAGGCACCCAGCTCGAGCTGTTCTAGTGCTGTACCTTACTGGATTTAAAGCCTGAGGCTCTGCTCCAGTGCATGAGGGGTGGAGATACCTTGAAAATACAGGATACTTGGGGTGGAGGAGCTTAACATAAAAAGCAACTCAGCTAAGCAGCATGATTACTTCCACTAGACAAATACTCATTTGCTATGACCACAATACAAAAGGCATTATTTTCCTCCAGGTGCAGGAACTATCTATGAGAGTAGAAAAGAGAGAGTTTAATACTTTTCAGGTATTTTTTGGTAGCAATTACTGGGAATTCATACAGTATTTGTTTGAAATGTGTGTAAAGCACAACTTCTTAGACTTGTTGATCATACTGGTGTTACAGAGCATGTGGCAGAGAATTTTCCCTTTAGCACAATGAAGTCTAAATTATGGCTTTGTCTCTGTGGGTACAAAATTAGCATTGAAGCTTTTACTTCAGGGCTGTAGATTCAGATCATGGTATGAATTATGGGGAGAGAAAGACTAATTTCTCTGAACAAAAGTAATGTTTTAAACTTACTACTGCTCAGATAAGAAGAACTGTGGGGTTTTTGTGTGTCCGACTAAGCAGCAGGTGTAATAAGATGTAAATAAGATAATCCCAGTACTTAAGAGCAGCTATTCTTCTTTGCCGTGCTCAGAAAGTGAATACCTATCAGAAGAGTCCTTAATTTCTAGCGATCTTTTTTGCAGGAGTTTGACAAGAAATACAATCCCACGTGGCACTGCATCGTGGGAAGGAACTTTGGCAGCTATGTGACTCATGAGACCAAGCACTTCATCTACTTCTACCTCGGCCAAGTCGCTATTCTTCTTTTCAAGTCTGGTTAGAACCACGGACTGTTACTGAAACTTGCATCCAGTTACAGGACTCTCTGACTAGTTACTGCAGCCTTCCTGAGGACACAGGCCTTGATCTTCAAGGGCAATGGCAGGGATTGTTATAGCAGATGATGTTACATTGTGGATATAAAAAGGAAAAGTACCAAAAAGTCTTGTATTTATTTTTTTTAGAAGGCTCCTCCTTTGCTAGTAGAGCTGTTGGAGCAGTTTTTCTTTTGAGAGTTCTATAGCCATCTACTGTATTTCCCCATTACTGCTAGTGCTGTGCAAGTACTGACAGTGTTTAGTTCTTTATGTTCCAAGCCTCTCTTATTCTTATTTTACTTTTTTAAAATAATTTTTCCTCTCTTGTTTTGCTGGATGTGCTGCCCCAAAGCCTGAACTGTTTCTTTTCCTGCTGTCTTTGGAGAAGCGCTTTGGATAATAAAAGACAAGATCTCCAGCCAGGTCACTGTTTCTGGCCCATTTGTGCTGTCGTCGTGGCGGTGGGTGACTGGGGCCGGGTGAGGAGCGGGATCTGGGCTCGGTGTGTGGGGCAGCGGTGTCCCGGGTCCCGCAGCTCCCGAGGACTACGAGTCCCGTGCTGCCCGCAGGACCGGCTCCATCCTCGTCTGGCCACTGCTGCGAGCGACTCGTCGCTATTACCGGGCACGGGCTGTGATCCCGGGCACGGAGCAGAGCCGACCCCGCGCCCCCGGCAGCAGCTGCCGGAGCCCCAGGGCGGTAAGAACCGGGCGGGGGCGGCGGGGCTTGGAAGGGCTCGGGCGGGTTTTGTGTCAGTCCCGGCTCAACGTGACCCGGCATTTCAGCCGCTGCTCCCCGGGCTGTGATTCTGGGAGCTGCTCCTGTAACTTGACTCCTCTGCTGCTCGATACAGCCATCCATGGGCAATCAGGCAGCTGTGGTAAAGGATACAGACATGTCCAAGGAGCAGCAACGTGCTGGGCAATGTGTCGTTTGGGCCGCAGAGAAATAGAATATTGAAACAGAAATCACAGCACTTGTAAAGAGAATGAATGTTTGGTTGTAATTATCCTTTTTGTTGAACACTATCCACAGCAGAAGTCAAGCAGGGTGGGTGCTGTAACACTATAAAAGCTAAATTCTGTGGTCACAAGATACTTTGGACTTTTCCTGTGGGCTGATGTTACCTCTCAAAGAAATCTCTTCCCAAATCCAGAATATCTGAATACTGAGCTAAATGCGTGAGTAAGGCAATAACACAAAGCTGCACGGAGGGTCGCTGTGGTTGGGACTGGACTCTGTCAGGGACAAGTGGGAGCTACAGCAGCCCTTGGCCTGGGTTGAAGGCAGTCTGTTTGTCCTATGGCCCACTCATGGTGGCTTGCTGCAGGCAAGGACTGTAGGGGAAGATGTGTGGAGCCTGGAAGGTAAGCTCAGTGTCCTCTGTGTGTTTCCAGTAACAGCAGTCCTAGCTGACAGCAGGTCTCTTATGGAGACGCTACTCAAAGACTCCTCCCCGGGTGGGATCAAAGCTTTTAGTCGGGCTGGAGGTAAGGGAGGGTGCCCAGCTGGGCCGTGCTTGTACAGCAAATCGCTCAGCCGAGGGGCCCGAGGAGCGTTTTACCCGAGTCCCGTTCCTGTTCACTGCAGCGTCCTCAGTATTACAGCTGTTTTAGGCGGCGCTCAGGCCGCAGCCGGTGTCCCCGGTGTCCCTGGGGGTGTCTCCGGTTGCCGCGGCCGCTCGGCCTGCGGCGTCCCCGTCGCCATGGCAACGGGAGGGCGGCACGTCGTACTCGGGCAACGCCCCTCCCACCGGCCGCTTCTGGCCAATGAGCGTCCGAGGT